GTCACTTCTGATCCATTTATGATAGTGTATAATAAGCATAACAGATCATTATAGGTATTTTATTTAGATTAATAAACTGTTGTTTCAGATATTAAAATCTTAAAATGGTTATAAATCCAGATATAAGTCTTTAGCTGAAGTGATTGATGAGTGTTTTCTGTTCCACCAGATCCCTGCCGTCCTCCAGGTGAGTCTGACACACACACACACACACTCATAAACATGCAGTTATTATAAACACACACACTAAAACACACTTGACAATCAGAACGATGTGGTTATGAGAGTCAGTATTAACGTTCTGTGTGTTTCAGAATCGCAGGACAGTAATAACGCTGTGAACCCTACTGCCGACGTCTTCATCCTCCTGTCCATCATCATCCTCATCTTCACTGTGTAAACGAGTGAGCAGAAGCAAGAGAGATAGATAGAGAGATGTGACTGATGTACAGTAATAATAAATACAGAGGTGGAAAGAGTACTGAAAATTTGTACTCAAGTACAAGTACAAGTAGTTGCTAAAATAATACTCGATTACAAGCAAAAGTACTGGTGTTAAAAATGTACTTAAGTAAAAGTACAAAGTACCCCTCTCAAAAAACTACTCAAGTACTAATTACTAATTACTTTTAGCCTGTGATATTTATTTACTTTTATGGAAACCAAGTTATAAAAATGGTCTAATATAATAATTATTATTAATGAATTATAATGCAAAATAAATAAGCTTATTGGGTTATTTTATTTATAAACTTTTTTTTCTTTTTTTTTTTACAATAAAGATTTCCAAACGTACCCTACTAATATTTCAAAAGTTTCAAAAGTTATCAGCATTTAGCACTGACACAAATGTGCCATCGACAGACTGTCAATCAGTGCAGTTACACTGTTATGCCAGTGGGTCGTGGCCGGCAAGACACTGTTTTTATGAAAGACTCTTCATTAAACTCTTCATTCTAAGCTTAAAACACAGATTCAATATTAATAAACAACGTGTTGACAATGACATACAATATAACTTTTTAATCTAAGTTTACAATGCTAAATCTTTATTACGGTATATGTGCTTGTCACCTGAGTAATGCTGAAGCTCATGTTTCAAGTGATGTTTTCAGTCAAATTATCGTGAGGTCTACCCAACTATAAAAACAAAAACAACTGAACTATCACATATCACTGCAGAAACAAAGTTTCTATGGTCATGGGCACTCGTCATCTGGTATTTCTTTGGAATTTTCAATGAATTCAGTGTCTCGAATGTCCATGTCCATTACGGCAAAGTCCTTTGATAACACTAAAATACAAACTGAAGGACGTGTGAGGACGAATATAGCTCTCCAGGCTTTTTTCCCGATCCAAATACAAGGGTTTTTATTGGCCCGCCCAAGATCAGTTATTTCCATTGGATACCCAAATGCTGGTCAAAGATTTGAATAATTGTTGAATTCAAATTGCACAAGTACTTTGTAATTAATGGGATTTTTAAAGTAGTGAAGTACATTACTTAACTTAATTTGTACTCAAGTACAAGGAAAATTACAGGCTAAAAAATGTACTCATAAAAGTACAAGTACACGAAAAAACTACTTAATTACAGTAATCTGAGTAGTTGTAATTCGTTACTTCCACCTCTGAATAAATACAGTAATAATAGTGATATACAGTAATTAATTACAGTAATATATACGGGATATATAAAAGCGTCTGTGTTTCAGGTGATTCGCAGTGAAGATTCATGATTCTGTGCCGTGGAGGTCAAACAGAGATCATAATAAATCCTGTATATATCTGATTCTAGATCAGTATCTGCTCAAGCCTCTGTAATGCAGTGTGTTCGCTTAACTTGGATATTAATAGTGCGCTCAAATATTCTTCTTTCATTGCTTTTACATTCCGGAAATATTCAATTATAAGAAATATCAACATACGTCATAAATGAAACATAAAACTATCATTATTATTTACATTATTATTAATATATTTGTAATAGTTTATTATGTATTTCAATGCTTTATCAAATATTATATTCTACAGTATATAATATTTTGTTATAAATAAACTGATATGTAGTTTTGACATTTGAGGAAAATGTTTCAACTACATTCTAATTTAGAAATTTAATCTAAAAATGAACATTTTTAATCTAAAAAGTCAAAGATGATTTCTGTATGGATCAGAAATGTGTAGGTCTAGACTTCTCCTTCATAAAGGGTGATGATATGTTTTGAAACCGAGAGGACTAACATGTCTGATGTAATATGTTGGAAGAATGTATTATATTTGTGCGTGATTGAGATCATAATCAAAAGTTTTTATTCATTTTTGTATTCATATTAATGATCGTTCCCGATAATAAATCATGTAATTTCCTAATAATGCAGAGAAAGGTTCAGTTGTGTGTGTGTGAGGCTAGCCTGTGTTGTGTTATTATCTGTGATTACTCTCATACCTGAGCCTTTCTAATAAACCGTTATAATCATTGATTGAACATCTGTCTCTTATTCAGAATCGTCCTAGACGTTCATTTGTTCTGTATATACTTGTTGTATTATGAATGACAATAAAGTCTGTCAAGTCAAGTCTTGTTTATTTAGGCTATATTTTGAATTACCATGTTCATTCTGATGGTAATTAATTACATCATTTTAAAACAACAATTTAAAACAACTTTTTTTTGCGTAATAACAAGATGTCATGTCGTTGAATCTACATATTTTCTTGGCCTTATAAGGACATGCGTCATGTAGGCTACAAAATATACCTTATTATCCAGATAAATTGTAGCCTATCATGCCTGTATCACAGTCCTACGTTCAAAAAGCTTAAAGGAGTAGTTCACTTTAAAAAAAACTTTTGCTGATAATTTACTCACCCCCGTGTCATCCAAGATGTCCACGTCTTTCTTTCTTCAGTCGAAAAGAAATTAAGGTTTTTGATGAAAACATTCCAGGATTTTCTCCATATAATGGACTTCAATGGGGTCCAAACGGTTCAAGGTCCAAAAGACAGTTTCAGTGCAAACTGTTCAAAGGGCTTTAAACGATTCCAGACGATGAATAAGGGTCTTATCAAGGACCCTTCGAGTCATGGCTTGAAAAAAGATTTGCTGCTGGCGGATCTGAGACACAGGCCGAGCTCAGGTCATGAGGAACACAGATCTGGAAAACACTTCACAGCTCCACGCCAGCATCATCACACAAATCTACACTTATACTTACATATCTATATCTGCAGAAAGCAAAATGATTGTCCTTATATATGTTTAACAGAGACACCGATGAAACGATGGGATGACTCTGGACACTCGTGTGTGTGTGTGTTGGTTCAGGTTGTTGTGATTAATCGCCAACAGTGTGTATTAAAGACATTCATGACATCATAACTCTTTATTGTTTGCCTACAGCTGCCTTAAAGTCCATCGCTCAGTGTGTTTACTGGTGAACTGGCGAGATGTGAGGGACTGAATAGTGAGGACAGTCTGACATCAATGTGTGTGTCACAAAGAACAACATCTGGAGGTCAGAGGTCATATAACTGGATCACGAGGTCAGAAACAACCCAACACTAAGAGACCAAGAGACTCAGGAATAAGACATGGTGAAAACAGGAGAGAGAGAGAGAGAGAGAGAGAGAGAGAGAGAGAGTGAGAGCGAGAGAGCCCAACTCACACTGACGGGAACAATATGGATCTTTACAGGTTCTGGCTTGTGGGAAATCTGTAGCGTTTGCACTTTTACCGGAGTAAATATTTGCCTGTCGCTGGTCAACGTTCATTCAGCCTCCAGCTCTTCAAACAGCCGCAGAAGATCAGGACCAGGACTCACAGCAGATTCACACACACTTCAGCACGCATCACTATAGTGTTCTTACTGTACGAGTGTGTACAAGCGTTTCCAGCCGTAGCGTTACAGTGGCAGCTCAATCTAGCACTTCCATTTATTATCTCTGAAATAAATATAGTGATTTTAATCCAATTTAGTGTAAAATTCTGTCAGTTTTGTCATTTTAATCAAATAATGCATTCTGGGAAACACTTTCTCACACAGTTTGATCAGATTATATACAGTGAAAGTAGAAAGTAGCAAATGTAGTATGCGATTATATAACAATAAAGGCCAGTTCACACCAAAGAGAATAACGGTAAAGTTTTAACAATCGTTCAGACTCCGACATTGAAGGAATAAATAACCTTATACAAATGTGTAGGGTTCTCAAGTCTCACACATTGGCTGTGAGACACGCAATTCAACCGGTTCGCACACTCACACGCCACACCGCGTATTTCTCACGCTGAAAAGGAAATGCCAACCAAGTTGTCCTGCAAGCTTTATATTTAACGTTGTATACGAGCGCAGGCACACAATGTGAAGTTTCCGTATCTCGGCCAGATTGCGTTCGTTAGTAAGGCAAAATAGATGCGCGAACAAACGGAAGTTGACGGAACATTCTCGGCTAGTTAGTAGGTAACCAACAACATCGCAGGAACACACGTCGTGATGGAGAAGGTTAGTTGGAAGAAGGCTCGTTTAACATTTTTAGGCTAGAACATTTAAAATATATCCCATCGAATACATTATTATTGATGCAGTCAAAAACTCTACAACTACTTTGCAACCAGGCCAGGAGCTTTGGCTGTTTGGCTAGCTATTATCTGAAACTAAAGGAAATGTTAGTAGGTATAGGAAGGAATGAAGATGTATTTCATTTTATTTTAAATTATATATTATACTGTATTAATAGTCTTTCCTGTCACTATGTTGTCTTATCCTGTTTTGATAAAACTTGAGAACCCTGACATTGTGATTACACAGTGAATAAGTGCATACTTTGGGTCACACACCCTACACAGTACATAGTGTCTAGTACGTAATTTGGGACACCATCCAGCCTCTAGCAGTGGAAATCATCCAATCAGAGGCTGTCAGCTTCGAAACAATATATCAATCATCAGTGTGTGCGGGAACACGCCCGAGGACAGTTAAA